CATAGAGCGGAAAACGTAGCGGAGCGTCACACCGCTCCGCTTCGGTCAAACTTGTTGGTGCTGTATGCACTTTGACGTTAATAAAAACGCTATATACTACATCTGAACGCACCTACGAGGAAGGTACATAATTAGTTGATAATCCATCATATTCAATTTATTAAAGCTCCATTTTTTACAATGCATTCTCAATCAGTAGAGCAAAGTGTTGAAATAATGGGTTTGATTCCAGGGGCAGTTCTACAGTGAGTGGATATCCGGGGCTTAGCCCAGAAACATTAATGCATGTATCAGAATACACGGGATACACTTCAAATAAAATAGGCTATGCTTAAAGTTACATTGGCTAAATGGCTTATTTTTTTATTTTTAAATAGACAAGTATAATTAATTATAATTTGCACTTACAAATTGCATAAATAATATGAAATTAATGTTTTAATTAATAATATTTAAAGTCGTTGAGTCATTTATTCAATCGATTGCCAGCAGGAGGCGCTGTTGGAGTGATAGAGATGAGGTTTCCCCGGTAACGCTGTACACAAAGCAGAGCTCCACTCACAAACGCTGCATTATCAGACATTACAAGCAAGAAGAAATTAAAATGAGTTTCCTTCAGAAATACAGTGATATGAAAACACCCGCACCGGGTTTCGATTTTGAAACGTGCAGTGCTCATGTTTATTCAACATGTGCTAGCATGTTCCTCTCAAAGTCAACCTGTTCTGTGAGTTCGTGGAGAACAGCAGCTATAGAGGCTAGTTTAGTGACATTAAAGTTAGTTAAAGGCAGAGTAAGCGATTTCTGGTAGCCAATGTTGATATTTGAAATCACCAAAACAAACATGCCCCTACCCCAAAAGGGTCTTGCCCCTATTTTGATAGCTCCACCCCACATATACGTACGCAACCCAGGCAATGATTAGTTCTGTGAAACAAAGCAAAACCAATGTTACACCATGTCTACGGACGTGAGCGGCGCGGCACAACAAATCCCCGACAGAAAACTGCTGCCAGGTTCTATTTATGACGTGCTGACACAAATTTCAAATGGTTTTCAACGGTCGTTTGATCGCGTCCAGTGTAGGCAGACTTTAGCTGTTGTAGACACACGTTGTTACTCACCTATTGAGAAGAAACAAAGCAACCTCGGCGTCCGATCGCAGGCCTCCGCTCCTTGAGTTCTCTCCAGCGCTGGAAAGCTGATCCGATATTTACACGGGTCCTACTTCTTGCCTTATCGTTCCGCAGACGTTTTCCTCTTTTGTTTTTTATCCACCATCTCTATCTCTCTGTCGCTCGGCTAATGTCTGTCCCATGCACTGAAAGCTCTCTCCTCCACATCACGAGTAGACACGCCCCTTATTGCTGATTGACTACAAGTTTGTTTTGCTATTCGGCCCGAATCAGTTTTCTAAAGTGTTTTTGAAAAATCACATACCCTGCCTTTAAGCTGATGGAAGCTCACCTGTTGTTAGCACCGCTACAAGGCAATCACAAGACTCCAATACACCTTCGATGCAGACGACATGACCACAAACTTTAAAATAAAATACAAAAGATGTTCTTAACAGTGGTGTTTCTTCACTCAGTTTTCCTCAGTAGGTTGTTAGCTCGCTGTTTTAAGTTAATGTTACGTCTGTCTAAAAAGTCAACCTGTTCTGTCAGTTAGTGGAGAACAGCAGCTAGAGGCTAATTTGGCTAATTTAGTAACATTAACGTTAGTTAAGTTGATGGAAGCTCACCTGTTGTTAGCACCGCTACGACGGCAATCACAGGAAAAGACTCCAATACACCTCCGATGCAGACGACATGACCACAAACTTTAAAATAAAATACAAAAGATGTTCTTAACAGTGGTGTTTCTTCACTCAGTTTTCCTCAGTAGGTTGTTAGCTCGCTGTTTTATGTTAACGTTAGGTCTGTCACTGAATTTAGGGACCGTCTCTAAAGTTACATACGACATTGGTACACACTTTCTGACTTAAATAGCATTTGAAGATAATTACCTTACTTGCGATAAAGAGGCAGAGTAAAGAAGATAACTTACTATGCTTCTCTTTGTTCAACTAAGTTAGTTAACTTCGGCTAACTGACATTATTAACTTACCAGTTGATGTTATCATCGATACTATGGCATTCACAAGAAGAGGATCCAAAATACATCTCCGACGTTGCCGACTACATCCAGACTAGAAATCTGAAAATAACAAACAAAAGAGGTACTAGAAAATACTGTTTAAAATCTCCACTTAAACAGTGGTTTATCTAACGCACTTTACCTCAGTATTTCACGTTAATTCGCTGTTAAGGTTAAATAACGACTCACCAGAGGAGCTAACTTGCATTAAAGGGCAGCAGAACGTACAAACGTGATTCTTGGTTTAACTAAGGTTTATTTCGAGCAATATAGGTGACCTTAACTTACTCACCAGTCGATGTTATCAGCCTTTTGGCGGCATTCCGGCCGTCAGTCAGAAAAAAAGGCTCCAATCCCCGACATGAAAAATGACACGATGAATAATGTTAGTTTGCTGTTAACAAGTGAAAACATCTTAAAATATCGCAGTCTGTTATATTACATAAAACAGAAATAATATACTAACCTTTCGTCGAGTTAAGGAGCATTTCTCTTTTGTCCTTTTACAGCCACTTCCACCAAACAGTCAAAAAAGAACTCCCTTGCCATTGGTCAGTTTTTCACGGGCAAGTTCACTACTGTAAATTGATTTACAGTAGTGAGGAAATACAGTAGTGGCCGTATATTTTCCCATAATCCTTTGCGGTTTACAGTAAAATACTGTATACACATTTTACAGTATCTTATTGTACATATTACAGTATAATACTGTTCAAATGACAAAAATCAGTTACAGTGTGGGGTTGCTTTCGGAGCATTTTGTAGAAAGGCTCGTACCTGCTACTGGGCATCTTGGTTTTATGGACAAGCTGAGTTGTTGAAAAGATCTGTCACCCATTATTTGAAGCTGAAATTCTAATCCTGCACTGAAGAGAGTGTTCAGATAGACTTAGAAACTACATCCTTTTCAGGTTCTACCTCAGATATTTCTGCTTGTCTGAAGGATCCATTCTTATAAATTCTCCTTTAAGCAGTTTAGGGAGATATCTGGGTATAGGTCGGCTAGATCACTACAGCTGTTACTCACAATGCTGTCTGGACGTTGATGGACACATCAAACAGTATATAGATGTTTATATGTTGTATATAGACTATATACAGTATATATATAATTTACATGGATCTTGTCATTCTTAAAAAGTTACACTTTCCTTCTTGAAAGCTTTACTTGATTAATTCTGTTTTTGATTTCTAATGTAGGCGGTGATGGATTGAAAGAGACAGCAAAAAAAAAAAAAGAAGTTTAATAAAATTAATAATTGTGATAGTTGATGAGTGGGTGTTTACACAACACAATTTTCAACTAAAAACGGTAAACTTTTTATGTGTTTTGGCCATTCATTTACATGACAACTGCGTTTGGGGGGCCTGAAAATGAAAACTTTTTAAAATGTGTTTCAAAGTGCAGTTTTTAAAAAAACGATACCGTTATTATCTCTGTGTAAACTACAAAAACGCGAATTTGTGAAAACGGCAAAGTCATGCACATGTATGTTACGTGTTCAGTCTATTAGCATGTGCGAGTACTTGAGGAATGCGTATTTGCGTATATGCATAGTGTTTCTTTACAAAGTGACATCGCCAACTACTGGCCTGGCATGCGCAATAAAGCATTTTTAGTAATTTTAGTCGTGTGAACTGGGATCGTTTTGACAATGCTGTTGTCTGTGTGCGAAACAGGAAAGGAGAGGAAAAGTCTTGACTATATCATGTCTTGGTCTTGACCAAACTGATCATTTCTCTCTCATTTCATATTTCTCTCTCCTTTCTTGTGCTCCTTACACATTAATGTAAATATATGCAATGAATTCAGATAAATTAATTAATTACATCTAGATTCAAAATAGAAAGTTCTATTGGCAGCCCTATATATAATGTATATGCATACCTTAATAGTTTGAATTTGAACCCGGGACCTCTTGCACACTAAATAAACTATACAAGTACACTAACACCTCTTACAGGGCTACTAACTATGTTATAAAATATGATATTATAAAATAAAAAATAAAAAAATGATATAGCAAAATAAATATATATATATATATATATAATTTTGACTTTTTGTGAAGTCCCATGTGTCTCTCTGATTACTTTTCCCCCTCTTGCTGTTCTATATACCCCCTTCCTAGTCTATCTTCCTCTCCCCCATCAGTTGTTTGATCTTTCCTGCATCCATGTTGCTGTTATGGCACTGCTCTCCCACCAACGAGGCTCAAAGCTCTGTGGAGTGCCACTAGCATTAATCCGGGGCCCACGCATCTCCCTCTAACCAGCTATCGATCTCAGACACCGGACTGAGATCCTCCACACCCCTCAAAGGCGAGATGGAAAAACTGAATAAAGCCTCCTGAGCCAATTCTCAGGAGGGAACTTAGAGGGAGACGGGGGTGTATGTTTACGTCTGTACGTCTACGCAGGTTTGGAGTGGTCTCGCTTTTTGTTTTCATACAGCTAAAACCACCTTTCACACGTTGAAGATAAAAAAAAAAGTCATACAAGTTTGTGTTGATGCAAAGTGTGCCTTTAGCGAGTTTCTTGAAGCACTTTTTTTTTTCTTCACATTTGCTTGGCTTGCAAGCCACTAACAAGGATGGATCTTACTTGTGAGAAATGCCGAAAAGTGTTATTCTTTATCTTCTCTCTGGCTCTGGCTTTCTCTCTTTCTTTATCTGAGCGTAACTGGTGTGTAGGAGCTTGTTTGGTCCCCTCAAGCTTTTGGCTCTGAGTTCTCTTCGGCTGTATTAACAGAGTGAGAACGGCTTTCATGTTCTGCTCAGTGTCGCTAACAGCTAAGAGGAGACTGGTTTTCCTTTGCTAAAGTAAGGAAACTTTGCTTCCTTTGCCCCTGTAAACAAACATTGGTTTTCACGAGACTCACCGGGGCATGCGCAACGCCGACGTCCTACGTCATCCGCCCGGAGCTGCTTCCGTGTACAACAGTGAGAGCAAGCTAGATTAAATTGATTATTATGTTTTAAATATGGTTATTTTTCTTACAAAAGCACATCGATTCACTACAGGAGGCCTTTGTTGACCCCCCGGAGCCGTGTGAGGCACGTTTTATTATGGATGGATACGCTTTATTTCACTTATTTTGGACTGATGCACTGCAACACCCGCTGACTGACATTAAACAGCTTGAAAGATCAAAGACAATTTTTAATATAACTC